TGATTGTAAATTAATAGTCTCTAGTCTAGTCTCAATTTTTTGTACACCTTATCGGAATTAACTTTCTCTACTAGCTCCATATTACAAGCAATCCAGACAACTTTGTCAGACAATATATCCGCATAGCATATCACACTGATTTTAAGTAAATGAATGGTATGATTTGTAAGATGAGTCAATTAATAGGTAGTTTGGAAATAGGAAGGACAGGGAGCTGGAACGAGGAGAAATAGAGAAATCTCAGCTCGGATAGAGAAGGCTCGATTGGCTTTCGCCAATTTACGCCGTTTACTGCGTAGGCGAGATATCCGTTCGCTAACCAAAGGACTGGTATACTGCGCAGCAGTTCGCCACGTTCTCCTATATGGATGCGAAACATGGCCAGTCAGAGTAGAAGATGTTCGTAGGTTACTAGTATTCGATCATAGATGTTTAAGAAGCGTTGCTCATATACCGTGGGACAACCGAGTAAGCAATGCTGTCGTTAGGAAACGGGTGCTAGGTAAGGATGGCAGATCAACAGATGAAGTAAGGAAACTTCATCAGTTGAAGTGGTTGGGACATGTGTTACGTATGCCTAACCACCGACCGCCTCGTCGAGCTATGTTTTGTGGTGTTGGAGCAGGTTGGAAGAAAGCTGGGGCGGCCAGACCAAAACATGGCAGAAATCCATGAAGTCACTGACAAGTGGACTGAGTCATGTTGGTAGATGTAGACTACCTGGTTGGGGTCCGCGAGACGAAAGTCACCAATGGTTAGAGAGCTTGAACGACATGGCTCAGAATCGTTTGCAATGGTGGAAGTGCATCCATTCGTTGTGCTCTCTCAAATCCTAATCTTCTGGAATCGTCAGCACCTCTACCTTTGTCTTTCTAACCTTATCTCACTGAATTATACTTCTTGAATAATGTCTTCGAACCCTAGTCTTCTTCATTACCATTAATACCTCTACTATCCTTATCACTATGGGATTTGAGTTGACATTTGTGTCTCTGTGTTAATGCGGTATGGCAATATAACTTAGGTACATACGTAAGAATTTCCAAGTTGCAACTGACTGACTGACTGACTACAGAGCTTCAACAGTTTTACCAGCGTAGAATTTCTCTTTCAATCTTCGACGACTGCCTGCTGTTTGCCGAATGAGTCATAATCTCAGCGAAGCTACAACCAGCAGTGCTAAAACAGTTGCACGCGGGACATCCTGGAATAAATAGCATGAAAGCACTAACACGAAGTTATGTATACTGACCGCATTTAGACATCAGGCTAGGGCAGCTATCCCGTTCGTGTACCAAGTGTGCATTAGCAATAAAGGACCGCGGAAAGCATAGCTGAAATCATGGCAAATACCGCAGTCACCGTGGCAGCGTATACATTTGGACTTTGCTGGCCCACTTCATGGACAATCTTACTTTCTGGTAGTTGGTGCATACAGTAAATGGCCAGAAAATTTCTTCATGAAACACCCAACTGCAAGCCGCACAGTCAGTAAATTACGTAAACTATTCAGTCGTTTCGGAGTCCAGGAATCGATAGTTAGTGATAACAGGACACAGTTTACGTCCGCAAACTTCTCGCAATTTTTCCGGCAGAACGGAATCTATCACGTCCGAACATCTCCATTCCATTCGCAATCAAATGGTCAAGTAGAATGCTTTGTGAGCACGTTTAAAAATGCTCTAATATATTCTAAAGAGGAGGGGATCATCAAAGAGATCTTAGAGAGGTTCCTGCTTATTTATCACTCCACGCCGAATCCTCAGACGATTAACGGAGTCTTACCTGCCTAAGCTCTACTTGGCAGAAAAATGCGAACACCTTTTGATGTCATCCGTCCTACACCAGCTCTTCAGTCTCAACGAAACCTGTCGATGGGGAAGCAGTTTAATCGACACCATGGGGCAAAAAGACGATCGTTCACGGTGGGTCAAAAAGTACTTGCTATGGACTATCGTTCAAAACATCCTGCATGGACAGCTGGTCGGATATTGAAGAAGAAATGGAATGTGATTTATGAGGTGTCAGTTGGCTCAGAAGTTTGGGTATGTCATGCTAACCAACTGAAAGCAACTTCGATAGCCAGTAACGGGAAACGGCATCGAATACCCCTTGACGTTCTGCTGGACACCTTCGAAATCAAAACGCCTGGAACAGACAAGTCAGTTTCTGTGCAAGCAAAGAGTGACACAACGTCCTTATTGCCGAGAAGATGGACTAATCGAAAGTACAAGCCAGTCACTCGGTTGTAGTTGGACCCTAGCACCAGATCTTACGAATCTGCTCAAAGAGGGGGGTGTTAGGGGGAACATAGATGGAATTAAAGCATGACCACGTTGTTGCGCGCTGATTGGCTAATTTCCCATTCAAACAGCGCCTGATCGAATTGTAGTGAGCGAGTCCGGATACCAGATTGACTATGCTCACCACTAAATGTTCCATACGGTCGCATCACGAAAAGCAAAACAAAATAAATCCATATTCCATAGTTTTATTAAAGGAGAACGTTGGCATTACATAGGGAGCAGCAAATAGAGAAACATGGCGGCAACGCAAAGAGAACGTTGCGCGCAAGAAGTAGTAGAAGTTTTTTCGGTACAGTTAAACAAAACGAGTACAATAATGTTTATTTTTCACAAATCGTATTTTCTTCGTAGAAGCGTTCCACTACAGAATCTTGGAGACCAGGGTAGAAGATTCTCGCACTGTTAGCTGCGTGCTGATTGGTTAAATCTAATCCAGTCGATCACGTGAATTTCTATCCAGAAGCTTCTCATGTAAATGCTATAAATAAACCAACGTTGTATCTATTTTCGCCTTCGCCTTCGCCATCACCTTTGGCTTCTTATTCCCATTTTATGTTTGGAACATAATCTTTTCCTGTTCAACCGTGTTTTTGATTCTTGGGAACTTGTCCAGTGTATTGTGGTCAGAGAATACTAAGCAATAGGATTTAGCCGGGAATTATTCAAGCAAGCGGTTACAACACAGGTAAACCAACCGTTGACAGATTCCCTCATTGTAAAACTGGATGAATTTGAGTTGATTTCTTAGACTAATGAAGCCATTAGAGAGCTAAGCAATAAGCTGTCCAAGGCATTAGTGATAACATATGCAAACAAAGATACTCCAATCGCCCTGATAGTAGATGCTTTAAACAAAGCAGTAAACCATCTTCTTAACCAATTATTTAAAGAGGATTGGTAACTAATTACATTCTTCTCAAAAAGACTCGCTCCAACAGAGACGAGACACTACTTTTGAACTAGAAATTCTCACAGTCTATCCAGCTATCACGCATTTCCGAGATATGTTGGAAAGCAGGGCGTTCATAGTTCATACAGATCACAAACCACTTACTAATCCATTGAAAGCCGAGGCCGTGAAATCAGATACCTTGACTTTATGTCACAATTTATGAGTGACATACAACATATGAAAGGTCAGGACAACTAAGTAGCTGGTGTCTTATCTCAATCGGAAACTGACAATTCAGCAATCGACCAAACATTATGGACTTTCAGAAGACAACTAGGAAAACAGAGAATTACAAATCTACTTGCAATGAAGACCTCTGGTCTAAAATAAAATAGGATTCCATCACTTACTGAGGGTAATCGGATCTATTGTAGCATAATCAAAGCCATACCTAGACTACTGGTTTCCAAAAGTATGCGAAAGCTAATATTTACCATGCCTTTACTAATATCAGGTCTGAAAATTCATAGTTGTTTTAGCATTCGGGTAAGAAAGGTTTAGTAAGGCAATGAAGATATAACATCTACAACGCTTCGTTATGGTCTACATGTGCTATCAGAAACAGACTCTTAGTTTGTACCTAACTGTACAACCTAGTACAGTAAATGTGGTAGCGTTTGTAACATTTAGTTCCGACCTGTAAACTAGAATGACCCTCGTAACACACTGTTATTTGAGAATAACTGTTACTATTATTAGGATTTGTACATTTAAATGTATTACAAAGTAAGGTTTCTTTACCAGCTATAACTATTTGATTCCTAGTATCAGGGTTGTCGTCGGTAACTCGGGATGCGGATCGCTGTCTTCGTAATAAAGCTCAGCAGGTGTGAGAGGCAGTTCAAAGAATTTATGCACGATAAGGCGCCTGAAGCCAGAAGTATGTTGAATATCCAACGTATGATTCGAGATGTATTCCGGGTAAATGGAACTCCTAGGAGAGTACTTGTCTGAGGAGAACAATGTGGATGTGAAGAGAGTGAGTTCTTGGCTTTCGAAAGAGTGCTGAAAGTGACGTACAGCCCAGTAACTAGGAGTTACCTGCCGAATAAGTTATTCATCTATTCAGTGTCGTGTGAGTCTCGAGAAGGATGCCAAAAGTTGTCAGGTATTGTCTGTCAATTGTTATTATGCTCATCAGGTTGCTGAATTTGGCGCATCTGATGTGATTCTGATGAGTACATTTATGACGTTCCATTGAACGTATTATTTGTCTGACTGTGCTTGGTACTGGACACTTGTTTTCCCAATTAAGTCGTTGGTAAGCATCACTGGCTTTAATATCATAATGTGATGCAGTTTACTGAAATCAGGAATCGATTAATGTTGGGACATCATTAGAAACCTCGAAGCATCAGACGACCATTCCTTCCAGACACGCTGAGCTCGTACAAGTAAGCTTCTGTATAACAGAATCAGGGACCATTATTATTGGTCTAGCATCAGTGTTTACGCTTAAAAACTATTCACTATGTAGATCAATTTTCCTTCGAAAATATTGCAGCGGTCCTCATGACTATGTTTATTTGGCGGTCTTTCAACTCGGGATGCCTCACTTCTTTAATTTGAGGCGAGTTTAACATGTCGACTGGGTTACCGAGGTCACAGAAATGGCTACATCGCGATTCACAACTGGCGGCTGACGCTGGAGTAACGTATGAGGTTCGATATGTTGGTGCCATCCCAGTGTTGACATCCATAAAATCTGTGAATTTAAATACTAGGACTCGGATTTGTCGGTACGGTTATGTAGTTTCAAAAAGAATTTCAGATAACTTATTATATTTCACCTGTGTTCATTTTCGATTCGTTTAATGTACAGTACCAACTCGCGCATACATCTTTAGTTTTGTGTACGCGTGTACATTGACGTACTAATTGTGAAGATAACTATATACTAATGTAACACACACATTCTGCCTATGATGATGTGTCTTAGCTGTTTGGGAAGTCGGTAAATTTGATAGGGTTTTACGATATGAATGTTCACCTGCTTTATCTTTAAACCTTGACTATCATTTTACACCTACATATAATAAGTATATATCAAGAAACGCCACCAAACTACTTTCTCCCCTACCGTATGATGATTTTTGTATATTTACAAGGTCTGGGTGTGGGTCGGGTTACAATGCTTTATTTTATTAGGCATGTCCCTGCAACATACTGGGTTATTTCACAATTCAAATCTATATATCATATAAGTCGTCTGTCTCTAGTTTTTTACTTCACTTGAGCTGTTTTGTCCTAATTTGTAAATTAGTCATGATTAGTTTTCTGTTTTGTAGTTAGTGGTGTTATTTGGCATCTGTCGATATCATTTACGACAAGTTTTTTTGGACGACCTGAAAGAAGCTAGGGTAGCGTTAATACTTTCATTAGTCTGAGTGTGATCAACAAACAAGTCATTTTGTAATACTTCCAGTACTGTAGTATTGGTTTGGTACTTGTTAGAATTTCATTTATTCGTGTAAAATCTAACTTTTCACATCGCAGTAGTGTAGTATGGCAACTTAAACTGATGTACGCATTTAATGAGTTCCACGTTGTTGCTAGCTGACTGTCGAAACCCGGTGCATTTAGCATTATGACCATCCAGGAGTTTCCTATCGAAATTTATTACTTCTAGTTTTTAGAGAAATTTCTTATTACAATACATAGGTTCAGATCACCGATTATGGGTCTGTAAAATCCTACCTAATTATTTCCGAACGATCAAGTGGCACTGGTTGCTTGTATATATATCGCTATTGAGTAATCATAAATTTCTAAAACGTTAAACCGTTTTCTTCCAAACTGATCAAATTCTTACTTTAGGTCTTCGAAATCCTGAGCTTAACAAGTACCTACCCTTAAATTTCTACAAACACGGAAGAATGAAGTAGGTTTCTAGTTAATTGATCGTATCAGTTATATTTTTCAACTCCTAAACAAACGTCAACTCTTATCATTCCTGAAGTCTTGAGTGAAAAGTCTTTTAGTTGAAAAGCTTATGTTAGTTTTTCACCGTAAACATGTTTAATCGTACTCAAACGACTTTGGTACGTTGTCCCCATATACACTGCGTTTAAATGCTAGACTCCCGAATGAGGACTGTTGATTAAGCAGTGCTGTTGTTAGGAAACAAGTACTAGGTGAGTATGGTAGGTCAATAGGTGAAGTTTTGAAACTTCATCAGTGGAGGTGTTTGGGATATGTTCTGCGTATGCCTAACCACGGACTGCCTCGACGAGCTTTAGTTTGTAGTGTACAATTAGGCTGGAATATAGTAAGGGGCGGCCAGACCAAAACATGGCGCAAATATATGAAGTCACGGATAAGTGGACTGAGTCATGTCGGTAAGTGTCGACTACCTGGTTGGGGTCCGCGAGATGGTAGTAATTGATGGTTAGAGACCCTGAATGACATGGCTCAAAACCGTTTGCAATGGTGCCGGTGCATTTATTCTTTGTGTTCTCTCAAATCCTAATCCTCTGAATTCTTCATCATCTTTATGTTTACGTTTTTAAGCGTATTTCACTGAATTGTACTTCTTGAATCATATCTTTGAACCCTAATCTCTTTGATTACTGCTAATACTGTAACTAACTCTACTACTATGGGATTTGAAACGACAGTTGCGCGGCTGTGCCAATATAATGTGGCATTAGTGTTTAGCCAGCTTTTATCAATACAAAGATTAATTTGTATACAGTAACTTACTATCAGCTTAACTTTTAAAAGCATTGTGTATATAATAATCCAGGAAATTAAAAGGCACTAAAAATTGTATGTCTATTCTTAAATTCTCTCGTATTCTTATATGCAGTGCATCAATACGTCGCGTATGCGAAGAAGCTGGTCTAACACTATCAAGTAACCGACCGGTTGACAAGTCAATTAAACGGTTCATTGGGCCATCTACTGATATGACATGGGCAATGACAAACGTTTACCTTACAATTACATCACAAACGCTCACTGTTGAAACACTTGGTAATGGTGTGGTATGTGATACATTTAATTGTTGTTACTTTGTTGTGAGTAGAAGCTTTTGTTAGACAATCAAAGAACTGTGATAATAAAATGAATAAGAGTATAGTTTCTTGACATTCCCATCAGACATCGTTATTATGAACTAACTTATCATAAAAAAGGAAGTGATTAACTTAGTATTGGAAATCGTTTCATCATAAAAAGGGGTTAAAAAGTAGATTAATCTGAACTAATGCTTGTTTTCGTTGAAGTATCATTCAAGTATATCGTGCTGTAACGGTATCATCGATAAAGGACGCTACTAATATATATCAAGGTAACACCTAGAGAGAAAGTTGAGTTGTGAATTTAATATTTATTGATTTAAACGCATAAACATTGATACAGACAGCCAAAAAACATGTGTGTGGGCTGAGACACTGCCCGGGTGCCCAAGCCGATTCAGGTGATTTTCCCAGAGTACCACTCCCCAAGCCTTTGACGCAGAGGCCTAATGTACAGGGCAATGGAACAACGGCAGGAGATGATCACTAATGGGTTCATCCGCTATTCCTCGTCTTTTGATCTTGGAGTTCCTGATCCCATCGGTTTCGAATCAGGGTTTTCCGATTCCCCTCGGGTGGATCCTTCGTATTTACCTACCTAGTTTAAACGCCTGGCACTTCATTTTATCCTCTTGAATTCGTAAGCAACTCCGTCGTAAGAGTTGCAAATGGGTACATAAATAACCATAAAATTATCAAATTTTTAAAATAACGGACATTAAGTATCAGTAGCGTTTACAGATAAGTACAAAATATTTTATAGTATAAGTGTGAGTCAAGCTCTTTTTAGTTTATTTCTGTCCAGAGATTCGATATAATGTCTATCATTAGAGAGAACTTCACTTATCAAAAACCATGTCTAATCAACTTAATTTTTTCTGTGGTTGCTAGTAAGGATAACTTTTCGTACATATAATATCTACAAAGTAGGCGTTAATTATATTGTTCAGTTACGGAAACCAATCAAACTCATACTGACAAATATATCAAATAGTCTTGGATTATCGTCTGTTAAGAAATATGGAGACAACCCATCACAACCTGAAATAACTGCCCTGAGTTAAAAAAATGCTTCCAGGCCGTTATTCTATATTAGGTAAGATAAATGTAGACAATAATATATATGACTGCATCTCATGGCTTTTCTCTCAGAGCTCTAGTCACTTGCTGGAGAAATGCTTCATTGATCTTAATTTTTCTGGTTACCTCATTTCTTGGTGCCTCTTCCACACTATGTTTTAAAAAGCTATGTATTTTTTTCTATTACCTATATCGTCCTCATCTATTCTTCCGTTCACCACCTGCCCATTCCGTTTGTCTGCATTTTATTCTTGTGCTAACGGCTGGTTTGAATGCCAATAAATTCGTATTAATATTTGCTATTTTTTTAATCTGTAAAAAATTTCTAACACAAGAATTAGTTCATATTCGTCCCAAATCTTTTTTTAACAAAGATTGTCGACTTTATTGTACGAATGGATAGAATAAGACTGATGGCTACAATAAACTACTACTACTACTACCTAGAGTTTCGTTGGTAGTATCGAAATGTCCCGAAATTGTAATTAACTCTTGATACGAGTGATCTGCTTGACAATTATGTATTATGATCAGTGCGGAAAGTTGATCATCGATAACATCAGTCAGTCAGATGCAACGTAGAACTTTGTACGTAAGTACATCAGTTCATGTTGCCATACCACATCAGCACAGAGAAGTAATCGTCAATTCAAATCCAATAGTAGAAGAGGTAGTAAAGGTATTAAAAGTAATCGGAGAGGTTAGGATTAGAAGATAATATTCAAGAAGTATGATTCGGTGAGAAAAGTTTAGAGAGTCAAGACTAGAAGTGTTGAAGAATCCAGAAGATTAGGATTTGCGAGAACACAAAGCATAAATGCACCGGCGCCATTGCGAACGATTTTGAGCCATGTCATTCAAGGTCTCTAACAATCGATTATTATCATCTCGCGGACCCCAACAGGTAGTCGACAATTACCGACATTGCTCAGTCCACTAGTCAATGACTTCATGGATTTATGCCATGTTTTGATTTGGCTGCCCCTAGCTTTCTTCCAACCTATTCCTACACTACAAAACAAAGCTCGATGAGGCAGTCGGTGGTTAGGCATACGCAACATGTGTCCCAACCATCTCAACTGATGAAGTTTCACCACTTCATCTATTGATCTACCATTCTTACCTAGTACCCGTTTCCTAATAACAGCGTTGCTCACTCGGGTGTCCCACGATATACGAGCAATGCTTCGAAGACACCCATGATCGAAAACCAATAACGGACGAGTATCTTCTACTCTCATTGGCCATGTTTCACAGCCATAAAGTAATACGGAGCGAACCACTGCGCAGTACACTCGTCCTTTAGTCAGCAAACGGATATCTCGCCTACGCCATAGGTGACGCAGGTTGGCAAAATCCAATCGAGCCTTCTGTATCCGAGCTGAGATTTCGTCAGTCACCAGGCCATCGGCACTGATGAGACTCCCCAGATAAGTGAAGCGGTTTACACGCTCGACTACTTCACTCCCTATCACTAGTTCAGGTGCCGATGCAACCCAATTTTGAAGCAACATTTTGCGTTTCGAGGGGGAAAACCGCATCCCGAACATGCTTGCATTGTTGCTTAGGGTAGTCAGAAGACTCTGCATTTCGTCAGCATCTTCACCAAGTAGGACAATGTCATCGGCATATTCTAAGTCAATAAGCGAGCCACTTGGTAGAAGGTCTACTCCAGAAAATTCAGACGAGGATAAAGTTATGTCTAGGAGCATGTCTATGATAAAATTAAACAAGAATGGAGAAAGTGGACATCCCTGACGGACACCACTTGATGTAGAGAATTCCGGTGACAGTTCGCCATAAGCCCTCACTCGACCAGTGGTGTTCGAGTAAAGAGCTTGTATAAGGTTAATGTACTTCTTTGGTACATCTTACAATGACAGACACTGCAACAGAAACTCACGATCTACAGAGTCAAATGCTGCCTTAAGGTCTAGGAAAACACCTATTGTAGGACGCCTAAATGTGTGTCTATGTTCCAGGACCTGTCTGAGTGTGAAGACGTGGTCTATACAACAACGTCCAGGTCGAAAACCAGCCTGGTTTTCTCGAGTCCGCTCTTCACGAGCTTTCGTTAAGCGTCGAAGTATTATTGAGGCCAGTATTTTAGATACTATATTAGTTAGACTTATTCCCCTGTGATTGTCACAAGAAGACTTTTGTCCTTTCTTATAGATTGGGACAATCAGTGATTGAGACCAGTCAGATGGGATTGCGTCCAGTTCTCAGATTCTACCTAAGATCTCAGTCAACCTAGCTGCTAAAACTGGACGACCATCGTTAAATATCTCAGGGGTCAGTCTATCAGGACCAGCAGCTCGCCCTCGTTTCAGATTTCCTAACGCTTTCTCAACGTCATTAAGACTAGGGGGACTTAGGTCGATTTACCATTCAGGATGACTGGAGATGGTGGGTAGCCGAAGAGTGGCTCGTGGCCAGTTGAACTGATCCCTAAAGTGTTCTGCCCATCGATCCAGTCTCCTGGATTGAGAATGGATAATAAGACCATCCCTTTCCGAGATAGTCTCACTCACATTCGGGTTCTTAATACCAGTTTCTTTAATAAGGCGGAAAAGTTGTCTAGTGTTGCCTATCGCCGCTGCCTTTTCCATTGCTTTTGCTTTCGCCACCCACCACTGTTCGCGGTCGTTACGCAGACTTTTTATAAGTCTGCGCCTAAGCTGACTACGCTCTTCATCATGCTCAGAGACAGGTGGGATGCGTTTTCGAGCATCCATCAGTTGGGTGGATGCGACTGATATCCACGGCTTCATCCTAGCCTCATGGTTTACCTTCCTAGCAGATATCACTGCTGTTTCCACAGCCTTTTTGATATCATACCAACCTGCTTCTGGATGGGAATCACTTACATCGTTGCTTAACTCTCTTTCTAGTTGCTCCTGAAATATTTTCTTGGTTTGACTATCATGGAGTAAAACCCTAAGAGGCTTTCTTACGGTGTCTTTCCTACGTCCAGTAAGCCTTAAGCAGATACGAGCTCGCACTAGAGCATGATCTGAATCTAAACATGTTCCCCAGAACGAGCGACAGTCTTCTATCGAAGCTCTCCATCGGTGGCTGATGGCAATGTGATCCAGTTGGGTCCAACGTTGAGACGACTTTGGAGGTCGCCAGGTCAAAAGGTGCCTTTCCTTATGCCTAAAGTTAGTGTTTGCTGAAAATAGGCGGTTATCTGAGCATACTTGCGACAGACGGTCGCCATTGTCTGTTCTCTGAGCTGCGACACCATAACATCCACCTAGGTGTCCTTCATTTTCACTTAGTCTTCCTACCTGAGCATTAAAGTCACCAGCCATTATTACTATATCAGAGCGCCTAGCTTTTTGGAGGAGGTTCGAAAGCTTTCTGTAAAACTCATCTTTCATATCATCCGGACTGCAGTCAGTGGGGGCGTAGGCTGATAAGACGAAAAGACAACGACGAGTGTCCCTATCCTTTCGAATCCTTACTGTCCCGTTTAGTCGAACGGCGCACAAGCGACTATCTACAGGGATCCAGTCAAGGAGAGATTGTTCTGCCCTACGACTCAATGCTATACCTACACCAGCGGGACCCCTGGAAGCAGCATCAGGGCTGCCGGATTCACGAAGGGTAAATGGAGTTGCTTCGTTATTTTGATAAGGTGAAATCAGACTAATAATTTTACTAGGATCCTGTATGCGCGTTTCCGAGATACAGCACACATAGATTAAGCGAGATTCTAAAGTCCTAGCCAATGAAGCCTGTTGCCCTATTTGACACAATGTCCGTACATTAAAAGCTCCAACATGTAGTCTAAAACGGGGTTTCAAGAGACCAGGAACGACGTTTCGTGATCTCGCTTCGTCTGCATTAGCGGTGCAGTGAGAAAAGTGAGTGTGATTAGAGTTAGTCGTAGAGATAAGAGAGACATTAGGGGGTGTAGGAAGGATTTGATTTTGACCAATTTGGTCTCGCGTGCTGTTACGGGTATGAGGGCGGTTGTCACTTCCCGGCTGCCCACAGCATGGAAGGTTGTTTCTTGAGGGACCTGAAAAGGAAGATGGATTATTGTCGGTGCGTGACCGCAGAGCCCAATGGACAACTGCTTGAGGCCGGTCACGCACGGCCTTTTTATGAAAGGTATTTTGAGGATTAGCTCGGTTCTTAAAGGCCCTTAGTGGGCACCATTACGCAGGGAGACGGAAATCCGTGAGATAGGGTGAGGTTTGACATTTTTAGGGCCGACCTTTTCTAACCCTTCCTTCCTTGTGAGAAGGCAGCATCGCTGCAGATGCTGGTTGTCCGAGGGAAACACCTTACTGCTGTCACACCCCTCTGCAGTCAGCATTACGACTTCGCCCTCAGACCTTGGGTAGCTGCTTTTAGTCTCATCGTTCTCCAATCGACCTGCCTGGCATGGTAGGACCTGCAGGAACATATGTTCCAGCCAGTATAGCTCGGTTGGGTCATCACGATAGGCAAGCCCGACCACCACGTCAAGGTAGCAGCTTCGGTCGGGCATGGATAACATAGGAGCTAAGAAAAGAATTTATACTAAATCATCACGCAACAATTAATCTAGTGGTACTTATGTTGGAAGTCTTATCAGTCCTGATGGCCTGGTGTGTCTGATAAAATTTAAACACAGACATAGAAGTCTCAGGTGGTCTTTGTAGAGCTGCGTCACTTATACCGTAGGAGAGATATCTGTCAGTCAAACAAAACAATTTTACTGCACAGCAGTTCATTCTGTCCTACTATACGGGTGTGAATCATGCCCATTGTGAAGAGAGGAAATTCGTAGGTTACTGTTATTCGATCTTAGATGTCTTTGAAGCATTGCTTATATATACTGACGCCACTGAATGGGCGATTCCTAAGTTTAAAATAGAGCTCTAGGTAAAGATGGCATGAAATGGCTCAAAATCGTTCGAACGTTTGCAAATGCATCCATTATTCTTTTCAGCTGAATTTCAAGCTTCTGAACTTCTCGTCAACTTCCTTTTTCACTGAAATCATAAGTTCGATCTCTAGTCTTTTCGGCTGCCACTAATACTGCTAAAACATCTACTACTATATGATTTGAACTGAAAATGCCATCTCTCTGTGCTTATTTGGTATGGCAATCTAAACTGATGTACATACGTACAAAAGTTGTACGTTGTAACTGACTGACTGATTTGGTAGGGGCAAAGCGATGACGTATATTCATACACTTCCATTCCAAGTGTAAATGTAAATCTCACTGCCTACTATTCAAGCAGTTAGTCTAAAAATAAAGTAACTTTGGCAAAAATCAAAACACTAATAATCCTTAAAATCAGAAACAATTAATTACCTTTGGTCATACATTATCAGTAGTTAATAATGGATGACTTTATTTTAACGCATAGCGCTATATGTCATTTAATAATTATTTCTTTGTTCAGTTATTATTCCAGCATAACCTATTCCTCGTTTCTTTTGCTTCTGCTGGGGAAGCAGAAACTTCAGATTTCATTTGCTATGTGGCCAAAATAGATCAATGCACTCGTCTGTGTTATGTTTTTGAATGTTCAGATGGTCTTGCTCAGGATGTTATCATTACAATTGGACAAGCATTCCAGTTAGGATATCAGGTAATCATTAACACGATTTTATATATAAAATTATTTTCATGCGCAAGTTGTAATGATTATTTACCTTTTAGCGTTTAGTAAGCGTCTTATCTTCAGTGCTCGAATAGAATGTTCACTGGAGCATAACTTGGATTCTAATCTCTAGTATAGCTTGTCACTTCACAATCTTCAACAACTACTATTAATGTGTAGAAAGTTAAAATAGGTGATTCATATTAGTAGCCATTTTCTCCTAACGTATGATTAGAAATTTATCTTGGTAGGTTCCAGTCAATAGGAGTATAAACAGCTAAAATGTAGGATGAAAGATAACTTTATTTATTTCCTTGTTGGTCGAGGTGAAGTGTAACCACTTGGGCTAAAGCATACTGGTGGTATATTTTATCTGGGAATGTTGGTCTCATTTTGGCCACTGGGCCTTATATTCATATCTTGTCCTGTATAATTCGCCATGTGTTGTCGGGGAATATCATTAGAACAGTATTAGACATTCCGAATACGTAAACCAGTATTCAGTAAGTTGAATAAATTATATTTGTATAATCGGTGATTAGGCATAGTAATTAGTGTAAGAATTTAGCATTATTGAATCTGTGAGCATGGAAATGTTGATCATCTATAGAAAGCCAATTATTTCGTACACTTTGTTGTAAAGAATATATCTGCCCCGATTTTAGATCATTCTAGCCGACTATTTAACTCATTCAGCAAAAAAATAAATCGCTAAAATACGTTAACAAGAAAAAGCAATTCAAACTGTATAAACTCTACTCTGGGAGTTAGAAGTTCTTCATCTAGAAGAGCTATGACGTCTCATGATAAAAACCGAGTTCCTTCGGAAGTCATGGGGCCGATGTCACTTCTGATAACCAGAACCCTTCCACGGTGTGGGCAGCTGGGAAATAACATCCGCCCTCATACCCATAAAAGCACACGCGACCGAATTCGTCACAATCAAATCCCTTCTACACCTAACAACTCTCTTATCTCCTCGACCAACCCTTCTTTCGATCGTTTGTCACCTCGTGTCGCTGAAGCAAACTGTTTGAGCTTACGAAACATTAATTCTTGTCTTCTGAAACTCCGTACTAAATTACATATAGAAGCTTTTGATGTTCGGACCCTATGACTGACTGATGCCAAATAGGGCAACAGGCTTCATTAGCTAGAACTCTGGAATCCCGGGCGGTCGATGTATGTTTCGTCTCCGAAACGCGCATACAAGGTCCCAGTAAAATCATCAATTTGATCTTACCTAGTGCAGATAGAGACACAACACGGTTTACGCTTCGTGTTTCAGGTAGCCCTGGTGCTGCTTCCCGTAGCCTCGTCGGCGTAGGTATAGTATTATGTCCTAGGGCAGAACAAGCTCTCTTAGACTGGATCCCAGTAGACGGTCGCTTATACGCTGTTCGACTTAACGGGACAGTAAGGACTCGGAAAGATAGGGACACTCGTCGTTGCCTCTTCGTCGTATCTGCTTACGCCCATACTGATTGCAATCCAGACGAGATGAAAGATGAGTTTTACAGAAAGCTTTCCGAACTCCTCCAAAAAGTTAAGCGCTCTGATATAGTGTTAGTGGTTGGTGACTCTAATGCTCAATTAGGTAGACTAGGTGAAAAGGAAAGACACCTAGGTGGATCTTATGGTGTCGCGGCTCAAAGAACAGATAATGGTGACCGTCTGCTGCAACCTTGCACAGATAACCGCCTATTTCTAACAAACATTAACTTTAAGCATAAGGAGAAATATCTTTTTGCCTGGCGACCTCCAAAACCGAACAAATGATGGATCCAACTAGATCTCATCGCTATTAGCCATTGGTGGAGAGGCTCTATTGAAGACTGTCGCTCATTCTGGAGCACTTGTTTAGACTCAGACCATGCTGTAGTGCGAGCGCGTATTGCTTTGCGTCTCACTAGACTTAGGAAATATATCGCAAGGAAACGTGTTAGAACTCTACTTAATGATAATAAAGCTAAGAATATATTTCAGGAACAACTAGAAAAACAGTTAGGTAGGTGGTCATGGAGTAAGTGATGCCCACCCTGAGACAGATTGGAATGATATCAAAAAGGCTGTGGAGACAGCAGTGTTATCCGCCAGTAAGGGAAACCATGATGTTCGGAATAAGCTGTGAATCTCAGTAGCATCCACTCAACTGATAGACGCTCAGAAACATCCCGTTCGTCCCTGAACATGATGAAGAGCGAAGTCAGCTTAGGTGCAGGCTGATAAAAAGCCTACGCAATGATCGTGAACAGTGATCGGTAGCGGAAGCGAGAGAGATGGAAAAGGCTGCGGCGAGAGGCATCAGTAGGCGACTATTCAGATTCATCAAGGAAACCGGTATTAAGAACCCGAATGTGAGTGAGACTATTTCTGAAGAAGAACGTATTATTCACTCTCAATCCAGTAGATTGGATCAATGGGCAGAACACTTCGCGTATCAATTCAACTGTCTTTCAGCCACATTTCGGCTACCCACGATCTCCAGTCATCCTGAATGGCGAATCAATGTGAGTCGTACGACATTTTATGAAGTTGAGAAAGCGATAGGAAATCTGAAGCAAGGAAGAACAGAGAGTCCTGATAGATTGACACTTAAGATTTTTAAGGATAGTGGTCCAGTTTTAGCAGTTAAATTGACAGATCTTAGGTAGAATTTACGAACTGAACGAAATTCCATCCAATTAGTCTCAATCTCCTATCGTCCCAATTTATAAGAAAGGTCAAAAGTCTTCTTGTGACAATCACAGGCGAATCAGTTTAAGTAATATAGTTTCCAAATTGTTAGCCTCCATTATACTTTAGACGTCTAACTAGAGCTTGTGAAGAGTAGACTAGAGAAAACCAGGCTAGTTTCAGTCTGGACGTGGCTGTATAGACCACATATTGACACTACGACCGGTCCTGGCACACAGACACACATATAGACGTCCGACAATAGTTGTCTTCCTGGACCTGAGAGCGGCATTCGACTCTGTGGATCTTGCGTTTCTGTTGCAGTGTCTGTCATTGAAAGGTGTACCAAAGAAGTAGGCTACCATGTACAAACTCGCTACTCAAACACAGCTGGTCGAGTGGGCCTATGGCAAACTATCATCGGAATTCTTTACTTCAAGTGTTATCCATCACAGATGTCCACTCTCCCCATTCTTATTTAATTTCGTCATAGACATGTTGCTAGATATGACATTATCTTCGTCTCAAATTTTCGGGAGCGGAACTTCTACCAGGAAAATCGCTTGTTCAGTAGAATATGCTGATGACATAGTTCCATTCAGTGAAGACGCTGACAAAATACAGTCGACTAACCTAATCAACAATGCGAGCATATTCGGGATGCGCTTCTCACCTTCGAAATGCAAAATGTTGCTTCAGGATTGGCTTGCAACTTCACCGGAACTAGTGATAGGGAGTGAAGTAGTCGAGTGTATCGACCGCTTCACTTATCTTGGGAGTCTCATCAGTGCTGATGGCCTGGTGACTGACGAAATCTCAGCTCGGATACAGAAAGCTCGATCGGCTTTCGCCAACCCGCATCATTTATTGCACAGGCGAGATATCGGTTCGCTGACGAAAGGACGAGTGTGCTGCGCAACAGTTCGTTCCGTCCTACTTTATGGCTGTGAAACATGGCCATTGAGAGTAGAAGATATTCGTAGGTTACTGGTTTTCGATCATAGGTGCCTCCGAAGCATTGCGCGAGTATCGTGGGACAACCGAGTATGCTATGCTGTTGTTAGGAAACGGGTGCTAGGTAAGAATGGCAGATCAATAGATGAAGCATTGAAACTTCATCAGTTGAGGTATTCGGGATATGTGTTGCGTATGCCTAACCACGGACTGCCGCGTTGAGCTGTTTTGAGATGTAGAAATAGGTTGGACGAAAGCTAGGGGCGGCCAGACCAAAACATGGCAGAAATCCATGAAGTCATTGACGAGTGGACTTAGCCATGTCGGTAATTGTCGACTACCTGGTTGGGGTCCGCGAGATGATAATAATCGATTGTTAGAGACCTTGAATGACATGGCTCAAAACCGTTTGCAATGGTGCCGGTGCATTTATTCTTTGTGTTCTCTCAAATCCTAATCCTCTGAATTCTTCATCATCTTTATGTTTACGTTTTTAAGCGTATTTCACTGAATTATACTTCTTGAATCATATCTTTGAACCCTAATCTCTTTGATTACTGCTAATACTGTAACTAACTCTACTACTATGGGATTTGAAACGACAGTTGTGTCTCTCTGCTAATGTGGTATGACAAGTTGGACTGCTGTATATACGTGTATAGTTCTACGTTGCTATTGATGATAATCATGCCTGCTTAGTACTTTACCAGTACTATTTTGCAATCTGATCTCGATTAGCACAGAAACTTCATAGAAACCCCAAGATGAGTTTCGAAACTAATAGACTAATGAACAAGGAAGGTCGATAAAATACCTATTAATACAATCGCACTCATTTGTGTCAGCTTTGCCTGTCTTATATCGTTTATTTATTTTGATCATGTAAAAAAAGTGATAACATTCAATGTATTAGATGCTAGTAGACAGTAAACATTTGAGTCAGTCAGTTAGTCAGCTATAACGTAGAACTTTTTGCTCACGTACATCAGCTCAAGTTGCCATACCACGTTAGCACGGATACGTAATTTTCGATTCAAATCCCATAGTGATTGATGTAGTGGAAGTTTGAGCAGCGATCACAAAGATAAGGGTTAGAAGTTATTATTCAAGAGTGTAATCCCGTGAAGGTCGTTTTCGAAGACGAAAATAAAGGTGATAAGGAATTCAAAAGCTTGCTACTTGAGAGAACACAACGAGAGGATACACCTGCGCCATTACAATCGATTTTGAGCCATGTCATTCAAAGTCTCTAACCATCGATTACTATTGTCTCGCTGACCCCAACCAGGTAGTCTACACTCACTAACATGAATCAGTCTACTTGTCAGTGACTTCATCGATCTGTGCCATGTTTCAATCTGGCCGCCCCTAACTATCTTCCAGCCTACTCGTACACCACAAAATATAGCTCGTCAAGGCAGTTAGTGATTGAGCATTCGTTACACATGTCCCAGCTACCTCAACTGATGAAGTTTCGGTATTTCGTCTATTGATCTGCCACTTCAAAATGTTTTCACAATTTTGGTATTGTTCTTGATTTTCTTGCACTCGTTATATTAATTTATTGTATCAGTTTATTATCCCAATTGATCACTATTTATTTTTGTATAAATGTAAACAAAATTAGGATTTCAAAAATTCGAACCCACAAAATGTTGAAAACCAAACATTTCCTTCATTTCAACCAAATTCATTGGATTCTTTATTTTCTAATCACCATACATTTCAAACAAATATGCCAGTGTCTAAAAATTCTGTTATTAGTTCAAACAAACTTTCATCTATTAATAGTAACAATTGTATACATCAGGTGAGTTAGTTTTATTATTATTTTAAATATAGTCCTAATGTTTACCATCCGTAATGTAACATTGAAATATGCCATGTGTGTGATTTTATTTCATTTGATTTATTTATTTGTTACTTGATAAGTTTATGTTGGCATTGATTAGAGTAATACATTCAAATCGATAAATGGTATGCTTGATTTCAAGGACAGATGTAAAAATAGTGAATAATATTTGGCACTGACTATTCAGTAGATGAAATTCTTCTATTTAGATTCATCATTTGGATTGTTGGTCATGTAGTGTATTCTCAAACCGGCACTGTTGTTTGACGATTGAACAAAGCTCAAAAGCTAATGCAAAAATTAGTGTTAGGCCAATGTACAAGGAATATAAACTGATAATCCATACTGCGAAATGTGCAATCGTTTTTAAGTAGCGACATAGTGGGCGAAAGTTGTCTTTCAATCAATGTAAAACAATGTTGCTATCGGGATTACACGTTTCGCTGCACATCAGCAACTATTATTTCCTACTTTCGATTTGATGGACTAAAATAACGGGATTCTTCTGAAACATAAACCTTGTGTAGATTTCCTGATATTACTGCACTGAATCGCATCTTGGGCATATGTGATGTGTCCCTGATCCAGGCATTGGACAATTCACGATAGTGAATAAAATCGTTGTTTAGTACGTAATACTGATGATATTTTGACCCCACATACAAACAGCTCTTTTCGTGGTTTTGCGATCCTTCTTTATGTTCCTGTTTGTGCTTCTAGCGAAGCTGTTCCCGAGAACAACTAGAAGAAACATGATCATTGTATGGAACCGTTACATGCTATGAGTTTTAGTAAATAAACAATATGATTACATTTCATCATCAGTCATGTTGGTAGATTTAGGCTATCTGGTCGGGGTCCGCGAGATGAAAGTCACCAATGGTTAGAGACATGGCTCGCGATCGTTTGCAATGGCGCAGGTGCATCCACTCTTTGTATTCTATGAAATTCTAAGCTTCTGCATTCCTCATAATCTCTGCCTTTCTCCTTCTAAATTTATCTTACTGAATTATACTTCTCGAATCATATCGTATCTTCGCTCCCTAATCTTCTCCATTACTGCTAATACTTCCATTATTGCTATCACTGTTGGATTTGAACTGACAGCTGCGTCTCTGTGCTGATGGGGCATGGCAACCTGAACTGATGTATGTACGTACGAAGTTCTGAGTTGTATCTGTCTGTCTGTCCGTCTTATCTATCAATGTCACAGATTTCAATGTTGTTTCCTATTCGACCTAACTATAAATATGCATTATCTGTAAAGCTGAATGTTCCTTCATACCTTCTGTACTCGACCCCATAAATAACTTCATCTAACGGCGTTGTGTTTTGATATATTGGAGATTTGGCCACAGTATTTGGGGTGGTACTGGAATATCTGAATTTCGTCAGTCGGTAGGATTTCGAATAGATACGTAGCAGTATTATTACAGAAAGACTTTCCGACCTTGAGTATGCCAACAATATTGTCTTACTGAGCGATGATTCCCAGGCTATGCAATCTGCCCTTAATCATTTTTGCTAGGTATGACATGAGCTTTGCGAATTCCGCATCGTACATTGTTTGCTAACGCTAGGATCGGTTTGATAAAGTGCAGCTGGTCTGTGCATGAGATTATATTGGGTCGTCAAAGAATGTTGTATATGACTAGTATCTGTTTTCCTTTCATAAGTTTGGGATTAATGTCCTACGGATAGAGTAGCTCACTGGCTGGAGGCTTAGAAAACAAGCCGTTGTAATTTTCGCTTATTTTCTTTATACAAATGAGGCAAACTTCTTTAAGGTTCCTTTCCGGTTGTACTTTGCTTAACCGAACAGCTTCTGCCAATATTACTATTATTACTAATCATCTCACTCTCACACATTTCAGTTTATCTTTTTCTTCTTCCATTATACTTATCCTCATTTTTCTTCACTTTATTGTGCTGCGCTTATATATTCTGGCGCCACTCTAATCGTCAAATTATTTAACTTTGTCTCATTGAAAAACATAAATCTATCTGACTAATTCAGCAAACGAATGGTAGTTTTTTGTTTTAATTGTATCTAAACCCTCTGCAAACGGGCTTCACATAATATTTTTACTTTTCTATCTCAGATTTGTGTCTACTGACTGAGTTTGTAAGTGGATTATTTACTTGCTTTTATATATATATATATATATTTTTAAAGTATCACCTAGCATTACTTTTTTTGTACAAATGATACTATTCTTTCAGGTATCTGCTACTACCATCACTTCCCAATCAAAAGAGAATGCGGCATTAATTCAAAACACTTCCATACCTAATAATGAACTTACTCATCAATCAGTAGCTTTTGATAATTTTATGGATTTCGAAGATAATGCATGTAATGTTTATTTTTATCCATTAATAAACACAATTTACTTTTGAAAAATATACGTTCTATGAATAATAAATGTACACTCGAAGCATAGTTAGAACAGAAAGTAGATGTTTGATGTAATGAAAAATAGACATAAGTGGGTTATTTTCAATTCTATTGTTTAATTTATTGGAATTTGTAAAAAAAAATATTAGGATAGCATCTAATTACTCACTACACACTCTAAGTAACGATAATGCTATTATCTCGGTTCACATGCATATTAAGTCCTGTCATACTAAACCAGTTAACTTTTAAAAATTTCCTCCAGGTTCACAGCAGTTCTTGCTTATAGGTTCCAACCGAAAGGTATTTCAGTACACAACATACAGAACTATAACAAAGTCATTCAATTAAACCAAGTTATTTTTATTGTCATCTTAGGATGTTAGAGCTAAGTATTGGAGATCATGATACTTGGCAGTATCGTCTTGCAATATCGCTATCCGTGATACTTTGTAGATAGTTTAGCATTCAGTTAAATGCTAGAGGACAAAGTTAAATTATCCAAAGCACGGTGACGTGAATCTTTAGAATCGAAATAAGTCCCTGCGTACTGTAAACCTCTCAACTATTTCATTGATTCATCCTTATCAGGGATCACACAGAATTACAATAGTGAACGAATTCTTTCCTGTATACTTAAATTGTCTATTGATATACACTGTGTTTTGGATGAATGTTATCAATGACAATATAAATTATAAATAAATTTTCTGTTCAATTGTTTTCACTACAATGTTTGAGCATTAAATGTTGATAATACTTGGTACCTTTTCTTTCTTCCAACTTTTATCTATTAGAAGCTTCATGTTAGCTGACATGATGCCGTTTATTAATCTTTTTCATGAGAAAATACTTCTTACTTTGTATTAATCATAAACATTTCTCATTGACACAAAATATCTCCGTTAACCGACCTATGCATCGTGTACCACAAGATTATATATACATATACCTTTTTTACATACAGGGCTTCTCGGGAATGAAATGTCCACTGATAGCCAAACTGATGATGTAGAATACAACAAGCCATCTTGTGAAGCTGCAAGAAATCCTACCCAATTTAACCAGAATGAGTTAACGCAACAGCAGCTTTCTGAACAACATTCCTGCAACGTTGAAGAAGTCACTAGTGCCAAATCCATCTCTGATACAAAATCACCAGTTGGTCTGCCGAATTTCGAACATTTAGAACCAGTTGGTGAACCTTGGTATGTTGGTAAAATGTCCAGATCACAAGCCGAAAATTTATTACGTTATGACGGTGATTTCCTTGTGCGTGCTAGTATTCAGCAGCCTGGTCAGTTTGTACTAAGTGGCCTTCAAGACGGAAAATACAGACATTTATTACTGGCTGATCCAAATGGAAAGGTAGTATTCTGTTTAGATCACCATCAACCATACTGTTTGTAAATATAATTTCATTTATCTACCAAGACCTAGCAAGATATTCGCCTTCAGACTAACATGCTGGATACAGATCTAACCGTACGGTGACATCAACCAAATAACCGCCGGTAGAATATTTTTCCGTCTAACACAGATCTATCAACTACAATGTGTCAATGATTTAAACGCCCGACCTCCAACTATTGGGTTACAGATCAAAGTCTTGCTCCCACCACCTCAATTTGAGTGGTATCATGACCCTTCTTAACAGTGTGTTTCATGATCGGTTTCGTGAATAAAATGAGATGTTACATCTCAGCTAACAATACTGTGTGTAATAAACGTGATCAATAATGAGGTTTTTAATTTTATTACTCTAAAGCTACTTGAACTAGTGGCCTACTGAGATCTTCAGGTAGCTCTTTTTCACTTGCACAAATATTAGGAGAAATCCCCTATCTTAAGCTTGTTTTGACTCGTACGTTAACCACATAAGGTTTGCTCTCATCACAGAAATAATTGCTACAAAATCCTAGCAGAACTACCAGTTATTGCTGCATTCTTCTATGGAATCCATGCAACAAAAAATACTAGTTTGTTGTAACATTACTTTTTTGGCTGATACTTATTTAGTGTAACTGTACACATGATATCGAAGGTGGTGATTCTTATCCGCATCAGAGAAAAAAAATTTTGTGAATTCTGTATGTTGAGAAAAATATTTTGAATACCATAAAATCCCATATGCATTGTTTGTTCACTAATTTCAGGTGCGTACAAAAGAACGAGTATTTGACAGCATACAACATCTTATTGACTATCATGTACAAAATGGTGCTCCTATTCGTTCACTTGACAGCGAAATCAGATTGATATTTCCCGTTTCTACGCATACATTTTGCATTTCCTAGTTCGATTCCTGTATGTAAGTTAATCGCAATTATTTATGTGCATTGTTTGCAGTATCCATATCAATTTTTTAGTAGCAGTAATGTTAGTAAAATTGCAAACCTATTGTTTGTCATGTTATCTACATAACACTTACACTGTTAAGTTGCAAGTAGCGTTGATCACTGTTGATTGCTAAGTACATCAACCAGCTACCAAAACTATTACTTCGAAATTACCGTATATTATCTCTTCATTAGAACTGATATCTGTATCGAGAGTGAAAAATACTATAAACTCGTAGGCAAACTCATACGTTTAATTCAGACAGCTGAATCAACCAGCGTGTTCTTAATCCTCTATTTTCAAAGTAGTACGTTTACCGAACGTAAGTTCAGCAAATAGTTCTTTTTTAATGCATAAATAGAGTTCCTGTAAGTGACTTCATTAACCACTACCACGACTCAGCTGTTATCATATCGTGAAAACCTTGTCTCCTTTTAATTTCAGGATCCTTGACATACGTGCAAATTGATGATATACCAGCGACTCTTCAATTTTATCTTTGATTTGCAATAATTTAACTTAACGCTTAATGTTTTAGATTATGATTTCTTTGTTAATTTTATATTCCACAACATTCCGAAATTTGTGTAAATTCAATCGACTCACTTTTTATTTTGCATCATGTAATAATATTTGTCTGTAATTTATTTTACTTTTGCTACATTATTTTACTAATAAATGTTTTGCTTTCGCGCATATTAAATACTAACATTGGCGTAATGTGCTTTTTCCACAAATATTTTGAAGTTCCGTTTCTGTAAAGTTTGTCAACTGCCGAAATGAAACGGAAATCGCTGATGTGTAACATACCCTTTCATGTTCGTGCCTAGAAACCCCCAATGATTTCAAATATGTTGAGTTGTAGCTTCACAAATATCGTCTAAGCTTATCACAGACATACACACATCAAAAGTTGTATAATATCTACATACGCGAGTCGAAACATGAATGGCATTAATGAACTTTCTGTCACATCGCTAGTGTACGTAAAGTATTAAGTCCTAAGTCGTAGAATGGATCCCAGTTGATGATGGTTTATATGCTGTCCGACTTAACGGGACAGTAAGGACTTTGAAAATTAGAGACACTCGCCGTTGCTTCTTCGTCGTATCTGACTACGCACCCACTGACTGCAGTTCAGACGATATAAGAGATAATTTTTACAGAAAACTCTTTAAAGTTATCCAAAAAAATTAGGCGCTCTGATATAGTAATAATGGCTGGTGACTTTAACGCTCAAGTAGGTAGAGCAGGTGAAAAGGAAAGACACCCAGGTGGATCTTTTGGTGTCGCGGTCCAAAGAACAGATAACGGCGACAGTCTGCTGCAGATATGCTCAGACAACCGCACATTTTTAGCAATCAATCAATAACAGCGTAGAACTTCGTACGTAAGTACATCAGTTCAAGTTGCCATACCACATCTGCACAGAGGTGTAATCGTCAATTCAAATCCCGTAGTCTTAGAGGTAGTAAAAGTATTAGCAGTAATCAGAGATTAGGGTTCGAAGATATGATTCAAGAAGTACAATTCAGATAGGTAAATTTAGAACGAGAAAGAAAGCGATGATGATGAATTGAGGTTAGGACTTGAGAGAACACAAAGAATGTATGCACCTGCACTAATGCAAACGGTTTTGACCCATGTCATTCGGAGTCTCTAACCATCTCGCGGACCCCAACCAGGTAGTCGACATCTACCGACATGACTCAGTCTACTTATCAGTGACTTCATATATCTGCGCCATCTTTTGGTCTGGCCGCCCCTAGCTTTAGTCCAACCTATTCCTACGTCTCAAAACAGCTCGACGCGGCATTCCGTGGTTAGGCATACGCAATACATGTCCCAACCACCTCAACCGACGCAGTTCCAATACTTCATCCATTGACCTGCCACAAGAGTACTTTTGTCCTTATAAATTGGGACGATAGGGGATTGAGACTAGTCGGATGGGATGACGTCCAGTTCCAGTCGATCTTGCAGCTAAAACTGGACCACCATCCTTAGAAATCTCAAGGGTCAATCTAGTAGGACCCTCTGCTCTTCCTTACTTCAGATTTCCTATCGCTTTTTCAACTTGATAAAATGTCGGAGGACTGGAGATCGTGGGAAACGGAAGTGTGGTCGAGGCCAGTTGAATTGATTCCTGAAGTGTTCTGCCCATCGACCCTATATACTGAATTGAGAGTGAATAATGAGACCATCACTTTCCGAAGTAGTATCAATCACATTCCGGTTCCTAATACCAGTTTCCTTGGTAAGGCTGAACAGTTGTCTACTGTCGCACATCGCCACTGCCTTTTCCATCTCTCTCGTTCTCTCTACCTACCACTGTTCGCGATCGTTGAGTAGACTTTTTCTTAGCTTGCGCCTAAACTGACTCAGCTCCTCACCGTACTCAGAACCAGATATAAGTTTCCGAGCATCTATCATTTCAGTAGATACTGGAGATCCATGGCTTCTCCCTAACATTATGGTTTACATTAGTGGCAGATATCACTGCTGTTCACACAGCTTTTTGGATGTCATTCCAAGCTGCCACCATATGGGCATCACTTACATCACCGCCTAACTGTTTTTCTAATCGTCCCTGAAATATATGATTAGGTAGAACAAGTCGCAAACAAATATGCGCTCGCACTAGAGCACGATCTGAATCTAGACCTATGTCATAGAACGAGCGACAGTCCTTCATTGAACCCCTCCACCTTTGACTGATTGCGACATGATCTAGTTGGGTCCATCGTTGAGACGACTTTTTGGGTCGCCAGGTCGAGAGATGTTTTTCCTTATGCTTAAAGTTAGTGTTCGCTGGAAGTAGGCGGTTATCTGAGCATAATTGCAGCAGACAGTCGCCATTATCTGTCCTTTGAGCCGTGACATTATAAGATCCACCCTGATGTTTTTCCTTTTCACCTATTCTACCTCAGATCCTGTATGCAGGTTTTGAAGACGCAGCATACATCTATGGCGCGATATTCCATTGTCCCAGCTGGGGAAGCCTGTTCTATTTGACACAATGTCCGTACACTGAAGCCTCCAACTAGTCTTTTCGAACTGGGTTTCAGGAGACTAGAAATAACGTTTCGTGAACTCGAATCGTTTGCATCAGCGGGACGGGGTGATAAAGGAATATGAGAATAGTTAGTCGCGGAGATAAGCGACATGTTAGAGGGTGTAGGAAGGATTTTTTGTGAGCGATTTCACTAAGTGTGCCGTTACGGGTATCAGTCAGTCAGTCAGATACAACGTAGAACTTTGTACGTAAGTCAGTCAGTCAGTCAGTTGCAACGTAGAACTTCGTACGTATGTACATAAGTTCATGTTGCCATACCACATTATTAGCACAGAGACGCAAATGTCAAATCAAATCCCATAGTGATAAAGATAGTAGAGGTATTAATATTAATAAGAAGACTAGGGTTTGAGATATTATTCAGGCAGTATGATTCAGTGAGATAAGTTTAGAAAGTCAAAACTAGAGGGTTTGAAGAATACAGTAGATTAGGATTTGAGAGAACACAAAGCATAAATGCACCGGCGCCATTGCGAACGGTTTTGAGCCATGTCATTCAAGGTCTCTAACCATCGATTATTATCATCTCGTGGACCCCAACCAGGTAGTCGACAATTACTGACATGGCTAAGTCCACTCGTCAATGACTTCAGCAAACGGATATCTCGCCTACGCCATAGGTGACGCAGGTTGGCGAAAGCCGATCGAGCCTTCTGTATCCGAGCTGAGATTTCGTCAGTCACCAGGCCATCGGCACTGATGAGACTCCCAAGATAAGTGAAGCGGTCTACATCTTCGACTACTTCACTCCCTATCACTAGTTCAGGTGCCGATGCAACCCAATCTTGAAGCAACATTTTGCATTTCGACGGGGAAAACCGCATCCCGAACATGCTTGCATTGTTGCTTAGGGTGCTCAGAAGACTCTTCATTTTGTCAGGGTTTTCACCAAGTAGGACTATGTCATCGGCATATTCTAAGTCAATAAGCGAGCCACTTGGTAGAAGGTCTACTCCTGAAAATTCAGACGACGGTAAGGTTATTTCTAGGAGCATGTCTATGATAAAATTAAACAAGAATGGAGAGAGTGGACAGCCCTGACGGATACCACTTGAAGCAAAGAATTCAGATGACAGTTCGCCATAAGCTCTCACTCGACCAGTGGTGTTCGAGTAGAGAGCTTGTATGAGGTTAAGGTACTTCTTTGGTACATCTTTCAATGACAGACACTGCAACTGAAACTCACGATCTACAGAGTCAAATGCTGCCTTAAGGTGCAGGAAAACATCTATTGTTGGACGTCCATGTGTGTCTGTGTTCCAGGACCTGTCTTAGTGTGAAGATGTGGTCTATACAGCCACGTCCAGGTCGAAAACCAGATTGGTTTTCTCGAGTCTGCTCTTCACGAGCTCTAGCTAGACGTCTAAGTATAATGGAGGCTAACAGTTTAGATACTATACTAGTTAGACTTATTCCCCTGTGATTGTCACAAGAGGACTTTTTTCCTTTCTTATAAATTGGGACAATCAAGGGTTGAGACCAGTCGAATGGGATTACATCCAGTTCCCAGATTCTACCTAAGATCTCGGTCAACCTAGCTACTAAAACTGGACCACCATCGTTAAATATCTCAGGGGTCAGTCTATCAGGACCTGCAGCTCGCCCTCGCTTCAGATTTCCTAACGCGTTTTCAACTTCGTTAAAACTAGGGGGACTTACGTCGATTTGCCATTCAGCATGACCGGAGGGTATGAGGGCAGATGTCACTTCCCGGCTGTCCACACCGTGGAAGGGTGTTTCTTGAGGGACCTGGAAATGAAGGTAGATTAGTGTTGGTCTTAGATACCTGGGAACGTGACCGGAGAGCCCAAGGGACAACTGCTTGTGGCCGGTCACGCACGTCCCTCAATGAGAGGTTTATTAGAGTATTCGCTCTGCTCTTGTTTAAAAGGCCTTACCGCTGGAGATGGAAATCCGTGATGTAAGGTGGTGTGTGAGAATTTTAGGGTCGACCTTTCCTAACTCCTTCCTTCCTTGTGAGAAGGCAGCATCGCTTCAGGTGCTCTTTGTCCGAGGAAAGCACATTACTGCGGTCACAGCCCTTTGCAGTCAGCAGTACGACTTCGCCCTCAGACTTGAGTAGCTGTTTTTAGTCTCACCGTTCTCCAGTCGACCTGCCTGGCATGGTAGAACCTACAGGAACGTATGTTCCATCCAATATAGCTCGGTTGGGTCATGACGATAGGCAAGCCCGACCAATACGACAAGATAGCATCTATGGTCGGGATCGGCAGCAACCTTAGAAGACCTCTAGACAGTAAATATGTCATAGGTATACTTATTACGAAATACGACTAACGAGATCGATTTCACATAATATTTACCAGCTGTAATGTGCGAAGAAAACGCAGCTACCATAAGAAATGTTAACATGAACTTTAGATATCAACCACTATATCAATAATTCTTGTATTCCAAATTTAAAAAGGCTAAGCTCTAAATGTAATTCCGAAAAATGGCATGAATTTGAAAAATAAAAAATATCGAATGACCACTATCCTATGTTTCTAATTAACCACACTGAACTTTTTTAACCAAAGGAAAAGCATCACTAACCAACTGAGCTTTTTTTTAAACATTTAGGCTAAGTTAGTTTTATTTAGCTCGATCTAAACAGCAGTGTTAAGTCTCAACTCAGTTGATGCTGCTATTAATTCAAATTTTTACTTCTAGCAAACAAATGATTCGACTTTCTACACCTCTGTGACAACAACTTCGATGTTTAACTGTAAATACCGAATTATTCCTATCATTATTTGTTTACTTTCACGTGGTCAAACAGCTGTGGAAAAATAATCACATAGAATATATATATTTCTTTACACTGTTTATAAGATGTAAGCGTAAAATAAACATAGATTATAAATAAATGCATACATAATATATGTAAATTAGAATACATTATCAATATGTTACTTGATAAATTAGTCACTCGGTATTTAATTTATTAGAGACTGCAGCGGCTAATTCAAAGTAACGACAAAAACGTTGTCTTAGTATAATAATGAAACTTCGTATATCTTCAGTCCAATTTAAATGGTTTACGAGCCTTTCTAGATCCGGTATGGGTGGGTCACACAACACTACTTCGAAGCGATTAGTGTTTACAAGACGAAGTTGACAATTACATACAACTACATTATCACTTTCAACCAGAGCTCCTGAACAGCCATGAAATAACAATTGTAGTAGTCCAGAATGAGTTTTCTGTATCTGAATTCCAAGTAAGCGTTCGAATGGTTGGATCATTTTGTAAATTTGTGCTAATGTACAATTTTCAAATTCATTGGAAAAAAATGGATCTTCAGGAAGATTTTCAGATTCAATTTGTTTTAAGTAAGCAATCTAGAGAAAGAACAGGCAAACGCAGTTTATAAAGGATTCAACTAAAACGTTTACGTGAGAAGCACGCGTGACAGATATCGATGCTATCACATAGTACTGATTTGTTTGCAGTTTAGTTTTGACAAGTATGTTGATCGCTAATGTAATATGAAGCCTAGTTTTATGTTGAATGTACTTGCATTTCAATGCTTTTTCCCCCACTGGAGTACATTATTGTGTCTTACCACCGTTTTTATTTACGAAAGTCGTAATCCACACTATTAGTTTAAAGAGTTTATCCAGAATGTTTATGAAAAAGAAATTGCCTGCGATGACATCCAGGAGACAATGCCGATTTATAATGAATTAAATTTTTTAAGTTAGTAAACTTACCTTAGTTGACTTTGATTTTTCAATGGAAGCACGCAACTCCTTGATTGTGCGCTTTACGGTTCGCAATCTAGATATCAGACTATCCACCTGCTTTTCGTCATTAATAATACGCTCACGCAACTTGTTATTGACTTCTCGTAAATGCACTGCCTGTTCACCTGATAATTTCAACTCCTGCTCCTCTTCATGTGTAGCAGATAGTATGTGTTGTATGAGAGCAGTGGCTTTTAAGTAGATATTGCTTGTATCCGCGCTGAATTCATCCCTGAACATATCAGGCATTATCTAAAACAACTAATCGTATCCTAAAAAACAAAATAAAAAAAAGATGTACAATACCGCATACCCGTTGCTAATGGGCGTCAAGATGATACCTATATTTTCAGACGACTGTTACCCTTATGATTCCGAATACATCCTCAAATAAAAATGTATGAAGAGCGTAGACTGATTACTTATATAAACTGTACAACATGTCCGTCTATGGCAATTAATCATTCAATATATATTTATTTAAACACAAACATTGGTATAAAGGACTTAAGTACTTATGCAGCATACAGATTACTGAATTTGTGACTCTGAAGCAAGTGGTTTCCTTATAGAGCCAGTTCCTCAGCATTTCACCCAAGGGTCCAATGCACAAAGCAGTGAAGCGACGCTAGGGTAATCAGTCACATGGAGTCCGGTGGCCAACAATAGGTCCAAGATCTTTTCGCTCCTTTATAATCACAGAGTCCTTGTACGCCACTGGTTTGTAACCAGGATCGTCCAACTTCACTAAGTGGATCCGCCAACCCGGTCAAAACACTGGAAACTCCTTCGCTCTGGTAGATGATTGTGGTTGAGTTTCGTTCGTAACGAAATCGTCCTTAGCATTGTTTACGGGAAATTTGCAAAATACAGCGTATTTTCGTATCTGGACATAGTTTTTAAGTCTTGATTAAGAATCTTTAAAGGTAAATGGAAAGTTTGAGTCCATTCTTAGTAGGTATAGCACTGAGTCTTAAGCCAGAACTAGCTCTCCTAGACTGGATCCCAGTAGATAGTCGTTTGTGTGCCGTCCGACTAAACGAAACAGTAAGAACTCGAAAAGATAGGGACAATCGCCGTTGCCTCTTCGTCGTATCTGCCCATGCCCCCACTGACTGCAGTTCAGACAAGGTTGTAGATGAGTTTTGCAGAAAGCTGTCGGACATCCTCCAAAAAGCTAGGCGCTCTGATGTAGTAATAATGGCGGGTGACTTCAATGCTCAAGTAGGTAAACTAAGTGAAAATGAAAGACATCTAGGTGAATGTTATGGTGTAGCGACTGAGAGAACAGACAATGGCGACCATCTGTTGCAAGTATGCTCAGATAACCACCTATTTCTAGCAAAAACTAACTTTAGGCATAAGGAAAGGCACCTTTTGACCTGGCGACCCCCAAAGTCGTCTCAACGTTGGACAAAACTGGATCACATTGCCATCAGCCACCGATGGAGAGCTGCGATAGAGGACTATCGCTCGTTCTGGAGCACATGTTTAGATTCAGATCATGCTCGAGTGCGAGCGCGTATTTGTTTGAGGCTTACTGGGCGTAGGAAAGACACCGTAAGAAACCCTCTTACGGTTTTACTTAATGATAATAGGGCGAAGAATATATTTCAGGAACAATTGGAAAGACAGTTAGGCGACCATTTAATCGATTCCCATCCGGAGGCAGGTTGGAATCATATCAAGAATGCTGTGGAAACAGCAGTGATATCTGCTAGTAAGGTTAACCATAAAGCTAGAATGAAACCGTGGATCTCAGTAGCATCCACCGATCTCATGGATGCTCGAAAACTCATCCCAACTGACTCTGAACATGACGAAGAGCGAAGTCAGCTTAAGCGCAGGCTGATAAAAAGTCTGAGCAACGACAGTGAACAGTGGTGGGTGGCGAAAGCAAAAGCGATGGAAAAGGCAACGGCGATTGGCAACAGTAGGCAACTATTTAGACTTATCAAGGAAACTGGTATTAGGGATCCTAGTGTAAGTGAGACTATCTAGGAAAATGATG